TGAGCACCAAGTACTGAAGAAACATTCTGGCTTATCAAGAAAGATGAAGAAGATGAAAAAGGCACAGCATCTATGAAAGTGTCTACACCTGATAATGGCTCAAGTCCTAAAAGGCGGTCATAACATAAAGATGGCCCTGTAAGTCTTGATGGCAGGTCACATCTATCCAAGCATGTGAGAGACTCAGAATTCAGTGCATCGTCACATTAGTGCCGATAAGAGTTCTATGTCCTAGGAAGCATATGCAGAACCACAAAATTCTTGCCAAGTTCAAAAGTCTTTGGACCAAGATGGGCAGGTATTTATATATACAAGGGCCACATGGAAAATCCAATCAAGCGATTTAACTGTTGCAGAGTTTGGAATGCAGGTGGAAAACTCAGGCTATATATGTGGATACTGAATATAGGCACATGAGTTATGACAACATCCCTCTCTTGTAGCTAAGAGTCATTGACATAAAAGGCTGGTGTGGCTCTTTAGGGTTTTGGACAATCATGTCAACGCTTGGTCAATCTCTTGGGTCATTAAATGTTTGAAAAATATAGTAGACAGAATAAGGACCTATCATTCCAAACCCAAAGAAGTCCATATCCCAATCTCCAAAATCTGAGAATATGGGATCTTACTTTTCACAGGGGACTTTGCAGATGTGATAAAGGTAAGGATCTTAAGATAGAGAGATCACTCTGATTATCTACTGGGCCCAGTGCAATCACAAGGATCCTTAAAAGAATGAGAGGCAAGTGAGGCAAAGTTAGAAAAAGGTGACATTTTCTCTTTCTTCTAGATCAGGCTGTGCATCTAAGCAATTGCTAATAAGCTGTGAATATAGAGATTACCAGACTAAATGAAGTTAAGACAAGGATAAATATAACATGATATCACTTATATGTGAAATCTAAAAAATTTGAAAATACTGAACTTATTTACAAAACAGAAACAGACTTACAGATTTAGGAAACAAACTTATGGTTACCGAAGGGGGAAGGTGGAGGGCAGAGAGATAAATTAGGAGTTTGGGATTAACATATACACACTAATATTTATAAAATAGAAAATCAATAGACATACTGTATAAAACAGGGGACTCTGTTGAATACTCTGTAATAACCAATATGGGAAAAGAATCTTTAAAAGTATAGATCCATGTGTATGCATAACTAAAACACTTTGCTATAAACTTCAAACTCAGACAACATTGTAAATTAACCACACTTCAGTATAAAATAAAAAGTTTAAGAAAAGTCGATTTTAATTTTCATTTAAATTTAAATTCATTTAATTTAAAATTATTGCCCTCTTCTCACGGGTTGGACACAGACATAATGAGGATAAGCTGTATAAGGACAACACCTTGAGAAAGGCCAAGCCACAGAACAGAAAAAGCCCAAGTCCTCTGTGACATACAGAATAGAGTCACTGACCAGGTCCAGCTGTCTGCTGACCTCTACGTGGTGAACAAGAGAAAAATAAATGTCCATCTTATTCAGGGGTCTCTCTGTCACAGCTCTGTGATAAACTGAACTGTGTCTTTCCAAATTTCATATGTTGAAGCCGGACCCCAAGTGTGATTGAACTTGAAGATATGGATTGTAAGGATTAAATGAGGTCAGGACGAAGGGCTCTATCCTGTAGGACTAGTATTCTTATAAGAAGTGGGGGAGAGACATAAATCACAGCAGGATCCTCTATGACCCACCTCCCAGAATATTGGAAATAAAAGCAAAAATAAACAAATGGGACCTAATGAAACTTAAAAGCTTTTGCACAACAAAGGAAACTATAAGCAAGGTGAAAAGACAGCCCTCAGATTGGGAGAAAATAATAGCAAACGAAGCAACAGACAAAGGATTAATCTCAAAAATATACAAGCAACTCCTCCAGCTCAACTCCAGAAAAATAAATGACCCAATCAAAAAATGGGCCAAAGAACTAAACAGACATTTCTCCAAGGAAGACATACAGATGGCTAACAAACACATGAAAAGATGCTCAACATCACTCATTATCAGAGAAATGCAAATCAAAACCACAATGAGGTACCATTACACGCCAGTCAGGATGGCTGCTATCCAAAAGTCTACAAGCAATAAATGCTGGAGAGGGTGTGGAGAAAAGGGAACCCTCTTACACTGTTGGTGGGAATGCAAACTAGTACAGCCACTATGGAGAACAGTGTGGAGATTTCTTAAAAAACTGGAAATAGAACTGCCATATGACCCAGCAATCCCACTTCTGGGCATACACACCGAGGAAACCAGATCTGAAAGAGACACGTGCACCCCAATGTTCATCGCAGCACTGTTTATAATAGCCAGGACATGGAAGCAACCTAGATGCCCATCAGCAGACGAATGGATGAGGAAGCTGTGGTACATATACACCATGGAATATTACTCAGCCATTAAAAAGAATTCATTTGAATCAGTTCTAATGAGATGGATGAAACTGGAGCCCATTATACAGAGCGAAGTAAGCCAGAAAGATAAAGACCATTACAGTATACTAACACATATATATGGAATTTAGAAAGATGGTAACGATAACCCTATATGCAAAACAGAAAAAGAGACTCAGATGTATAGAACAGACTTGTGGACTCTGGGAGAAGGCGAGGGTGGGATGTTTCAAGAGAACAGCATTGAAACATGTATATTATCTAGGGTGAAACAGATCACCAGCCCAGGTTGGGTGCATGAGACAAGTGCTCGGGCCTGGTGCACTGGGAAGACCCAGAGGAATCGGGTGGAGAGGGAGGTGGGAGGGGGGATCGGGATGGGGAATACATGGAAATCCATGGCTGATTCATGTTAATGTATGACAAAAACGACTACAATACTGTAAAGTAATTAGCCTCCAACTAATAAAAATAAATGGAAAAAAAAAAAGAAGTGGGGGAGACTCCAGATCGCTCCCCCCTCCTCAGTGCTCACACCAAAGAAAGCTCATCTGAGGACACAGTGAAAAGACAGCTATCTTCAAGCCAGGAAGACAGGCCTCACCAGAAACCAACCCTGATGGCACCTTGATGCTGAACTTCTGACCTTCAGAACTGCGAGAGAACACACTTCTGTGTAGAATACCCATTCTGTGATGTGCTGCTGCGGCGGCCCCAGTGGACAGGCACAGCCTCTTAGCTTGTATCCTAAGTAATAAAGCTGAGCCTTGAACAACGTGGTGATTAATCCAATAAAAACTTATAGTCAGTTCTCTGTATTCATAGTTCTTTCATATCTGTAGATTCAACCAATAACAACCAATTCAACCATTATTTTCAATAATACTATTGAAAAAAGCCCCACATATGCGTGGACCTGGGCAGTTAATGTTTGAGTTGTTCACGGGTCAGCTGGACACTGCTGCATCCCTAGTGCCTAGAACAATGACTGGAAATTAGTAGATGTGCTATGAACATTATTTGGGTAGATAATGAGTAGAACAGAAAGACAATATTTAATCTGTGCAGTGCTATAAAAATGTAAAGAATTAACAGGTTCTATATAGATTATGTCCACCCATTCACCCATCCAACCATATACCTTTCTATCATTCTGGCTGTACTCATTTGCAGGCAAATGAAACCTCATCTTTGAACCCTACCAGTGTCTCCTCCACAGTCCACCCTGAATCTACCCATGGTCAGCTCCTGTGCATTTTATGACCTTTATCACTTTAAAATTTTCCACCATCACAACGGTCACCATTCTAACCCAGATCCTATTATCACTGGCTTATTTTGCAATAATTGCTTCCAAACTGTTCCCTCTTGTCTCTGTAGTTGATCCTGTTGGAGAGACTTCTATTAATAGTTACTTGTGTCAAATCCATTTTGCCTTCTAGGAACAGATTCCTCATTTCATTTAGTCTGGCAACACACCCTGCAAAATAACCCTAATTCTCTACTGCTTCTGCAGCCTAGGTTCAAGCACAGGGCTCAAATCTGGCTGAGAAGATACAGGTGGAATTTGTTGGGTGATGTTTCTGGAAAACCTCTTTCAGAAAATGGAAAGCTTGGACTAGGCTCCTTTTTCACCCTTCCCCTCACTCTTTTATTTTTGTTGCTTGGAATTTGGGAGTGATTGCTGGAGCTCTGGCAGCCACATGGACATATGGAAGACTGAGGAGAGGAGATAAAGAAACGACGTCTCTGATGATTTTGTGGAGCTACAATACCAGCCTTGAATTGCCTATCTTCAGGCTTCTCCTACATAATGGTGAAATATACTTTTTAATGTGTAAGCCACTGTAGTCAGATCTCTGTAATTAGAAGCTGAACACAACTCCTAACTGATACAGAACCCACGCCTTCCACATTGTCAGCTTAGATATACTGAGGCACATTTGCAGTACTGCTACTTTGTTACCACTAGCACAGGGCTAAAGCATCTTCATAAAACACAATCCCATGTGACAGGAGGCATGTCAACAGCCTCACTTTACAGATGAGGAAACTAGGGTTTAGGATCACATAATCAGTACACATCAGACAAAAGACTAGAACCCAGGTCTCAGATGAAGCTGTGGGGTAACAAGAAACTACGAAACTATGGGTAAGCTATGGAATCTGGAAATTTTAAACATGCACACGTACATGTGCAGGCAAACACACAAACACATGTAATCTTGAGTGGACATGTGTTGCTTTTGCCTATCTTCATACCATCTACCCTTTTCTGATAGCACAACCTTTCTTTTCCGGGATAGCTGGTCTTTCAACTGAAGTTGTTGATCACCTGCCTCTAAGAGGGCACATAATCCCAGCCATCTTGACAATGTCACTGGTCCAGAAGTGGCCATGCAACCCAATCAGAGCCAAAGTTCTTTCTGAGACTGTCACTTACTCACTGTATGTGAATGTGGGGCCCATCTGCATCTCAAAGGCTCTGTCCGCTTATCCAAAAAATGATGCTAAGTCTATTACCTGCTCCACTGGGTGGTTCTGAGAACAAACTAAAACAATCTAGTAAAAGTTCCCGCATACAGGGATGTTCACTTACTATTAGCTGTTCTTTAGATCTCTTTGGAAAGCTCTCATTTTCCAGGACACCATCAATCTCTAGAATAGAAATATTGTTACATGATATTAACAATTAAGCCCCCAAATCTCACTTAAATCTTCTGTTCTGTTTGGTCATTTGCTTCCCCATTGCACAGACAAGAGGTTTCTTTGTCTGATTTTCAGAATAACCACTTCAACTAACTGACTTAAGTGATGAAAAGACAAACCTTGAGATAGTCCCCATTCTTTATCTGTCTCCAGAATGGCAAATGCAATCAATCGGATTAAGAAAGCCTGCATTTCTTCTCAATATGGTAATCTTAAAAACTAGAAAAAACAAAACAAAACTAGAGGCATGTTCATCCCATCTTGAATCAAGTGTCCAGAAATCACGTGAAACACAAACGTTTGGATGTGGTCATGGTATTTATTCGCAGTATATTTTCACAACATATTAATAAAGGATAATAACACTTATTCATACATTGAACATAACTTCCTGGAGCACTCTGAAGTTTGTGTGGGTTTGGAGAAGACTGACAGGTTTCTCCTAATCTCTTTGGCTTTTGGAAGTGGGAAGGTTTCTCAAATCGAGTGTCTGACAGCGGTGACGACTCCTCTTCCATCAGGATGGAAGAGCAGAAAGACCATAGCTTTGGCAGTTCCATTTTGGAAAGAAGTAACAAACAGGACTTCCACAGATAAATGAATCCAAAGATAAGACAGACTCAGGCATCTTGTACTCCATAGTTCATTTTACTCCTGAATGCCGATTACTGCAGCAGCCATGGACACTGACAGGGTTTAGGGTTCGTGGCTCAGAGGGGCTAAGTCACCAGACAAAGTTTCATGCAAAAGGCAATCCTGATGACTAAGATTCCGGTTCTGGATTTCTTCAGATGTGCTGGGGAGGCTGAAGTTCACCCCCACCCCAGGCATCCTCTGTCGCAATTGTTGACATAGACACCATTTCAGAGTATCTTGGCAAAACGCTGAGCGGCTCTCATTGGCTCAATGTCACGTTGTAATGAAGCTGCTTGAAGGACCCTCTCTTTAACCAGAGAGACAAAGGCACCATTAACTGAAGCAAAGTACTGATAAGAATGACAAGAACAAAGTCCCATTCTCTTCTCAAGAAGCCAGGTCTAAAACCAAGGGTAAACAGTTGGTCTTATTTTATCCAAGTGACTGTCCATTTAAAGTTGTCCTTTAGCTTCTCCCTTCTATTAAAAGTGTTTACAGTTCTGAGTCTGATTATCACTTAGATACACACAATATTAGCACCAAGGCAGCAATTTTTTTTCCCAGAGATCACATGAAACTGAATAGATACTTAACATAATTAATAGCTGGTACAATCTGTGACATCACTAAATTACCAATTGGCTAATGACAGACTCCTAGAAATGCCAACAATATCCTCATACAACTCTTGTAGCACCTTGATGGTAGCTAAGTTGTTTCTTATAAAAAATTACAATTAAAAAAAGTAACATAAAACATTTACAGAAAGAAAGTAAACAATAGTGTACCGTGATAATAAAGGATCACTTTTGTCATAGTACTACATATAATGTAGAGTACGTAAAATGCAGTGGTCTGACTGCAGGGGACGAAATAATGTGAAAGGCAGTCATAATAGAATCATTTTACGTACAAAAATATTACATCACAATAAATAATTTCAAACATAAATATTAAACTTTACATCATTAGGTTATTCCACATTTATACACACACACATATATATACATATGTATGTGTATATAAGTATATATATGCATATGTACACACACAGGCACACAAATTCTCATACACACACACACACACACACACACACACACACACACACACACATTTTAAGGTGGAGGTATTTCATCACTATCCTTCATCCATCCCATAATGGCTTCCTCTTCTGAGCACCTGAAAGCAAATGAACCAACCAGGAAATGTAAATCTTCTGTCTCAAATGACATAAGTCAAGAATAGGTAAGTCAGAAATTTTTACATATAGAACTTTAAAATAATGCTTGCTACAATAAACTGGAAATTTCAAGGATATATAAAGAATAAAATAAAAAGCCACCGGCCTGTGATTTCCCCAGCCTGAGATAATGTTCTTCACATACTGGTGTATTTCCTTCTAGTCCTTTGGAAAAGACATGTAAATATTATGTGTATGTGCTCATTCAAATGTTACTACTCATAAGATACATATAAAATACACTTTATTAGATACAAAATATATATAATACAAATCAAATGGAGATCCCCTGACTTCACCTTCCTTTATTCCATCTCCTCTTTTCTGATAACAAACTCTTTCTGGTCCTTTGGCAGCCATCCCTCTTCCAAATGAAGCGGTCAGCCACCTGACTCTAGGTGGGTACATGATCCCAGTCTCCTAGACGTTATGACTGGTTCAGAAATGGCCATGTGACAAATCAGACCCAGAGTTCTTGTGCAAAACAGTTGTCAGAGGTGAGCATTTACTAAGGGCCATGAGATGTAAAGATGATGTAAGCCTAGAACTGCCAGGGACCATGGTGTGGAGATGATCTGCCCAAGAATAAAGTCACTCAAGAGGCAAGCATTGCTGATGGATAGAGAAAGAAAGAGCCCTGATGACTGTGAGCCTCAAGATCCAACCATGCCTGAAGACAGACCACTGCTTAGACATCTCGGTTACTTAAGACAGTAAGTTTGTTTTCAGTTTCCTTTTTTTCCTCCCTGGTGCTTCCTGCAGTGGAAATATTTCTACCTTAAGTTCATAATTTTTAATACAGATGGTTAAACACTGAAACTGATACACAAGTGTCAGCTATACACTCCTTTGCCAGGATCTTGAAGAGCCTAAAAGGGATAATGGGCTGCTGGAAGCTTGAGGGAAGATGTAGGAGGGTCGCGTGAGTTGGTTGAGCTCATCTCTTATACATGAAAGGTAATGAGATGAGAAAAGGAGTGATCAGTTCACTTCTCTGCCCAGCAGAGGGAGTGCTTGCCAGCATAATGTAGTCATGACAGGAATTGTCAAACTTTTAACAGGGAAACTCTACTGTGCATTTAAAAATGCAGATTTTGACTTTGAAGATTTGGAATGAGGCCAGAGATCCTGCATTTCTAATAAGCTCCCATGTGATACAGATCAGGCTGGTCCTTGGATCACATCGTGAGTTACAAGTGTGCAGAAGAGTACATTAACTGAGAGCATTGGCTGTGGGTAGGACCCTCCTGGGTCCTGTCAAGGAAATCTGTGGTGAACTTAAGCCAGCTGCTTAACTGTTGTGAACCTCAGCTTCCATTCGTAAAATGAGGGTAACAGCCCTAGACTGTGGATTTGCTGTGAGGATGCACGGAAATAATGCCTACCCAACATGGTGCCTGACACACAGTCAGGGGTCAACAACTGTTATTAATATTACTCTCGTAATACCCTCGGCAGTATTTCTCAAAGGCTGAGCTGTGAATCTTCTGCATTAGAATTTCCTGCATTAAAAATACAGATTTCTAGATCCACCTCCACTCAACGTAGTAGGACTTCTAGAGATGGAGCCCAGGGAGCAGCATTTTTAATAAGCACTGCAGAGGAAATGGTGCAGGATGTCTGGGAACCGCACATCCAAGGTGGAGAGCAGATGGCCACAGGCATGCGAGGACAGATGAGCAGGAGACACAAGGCTGAAAAGCACTGGCTCAGCTTCCCCCGTCTGGGGGCAAGTGACCCACCTACAGTTGCTAATCATTAGACTGCAGACAGAATGAGAGAGAGCCAGGGGGCAAGAGAGAGAGTGCGAGAAAGAGAGAGAGGGACAGAGACACTTGCCTTAACTATAAAACTCGAATCTCCAGGCCAGTGCCAGAGGACGGAGCACATTTTCCACAGTAACCACCACATTTCCCGATGACCCGGATACCATCCTGCAAAAAAAAAGATGCATCATCTTAGTCCACCTGCTTGGCTACTATGGTTCTAGGGCTTGAACTGGCTTTTGGGGGGGACTCATTCCTGTATGCACAGCAGATAGGACTTCTCAGAAGAAGTGGGGACCAACATCCTCACCACGGTCTAAAGCAGGAGCTGAGAAACAATGGCCTGTGTGTCCCCTGTGTTCGTACGGCCTGTATCTTCACAGAGTGCACTCACCCTCTTTGAAATATCCTTACCTGCACTTTTCCCACACAGACCATTCATGGAGACTAATCTTTACTCCCTTCACACTCAGCATGGTCTCCTCAAACACACAGCTCAAGAGTCTCAGTATAAATCTATCTACTCATCAAGAACCAAAGGAAATCACTCAAAAGAATTGTTTTGCTTTTAACCTGATTATTGACATGGTCACCAGTGTCAAGAAGAGCATTTATATTTTTAAATGGCTGGGAAGCAGCAAACCGAGAATACTATTTCTTGATAGGTAGAAAAGACATAAAATTCAAATTAAAAAAAAATTCAAATTTCAGGGCCCATCAATAAAGTTTTATCAGAATACAGCCACATCCATTTACTTTTCTCACGTCGTGGCTGCTTTCACGTTACAACAACTGGGTGAGTGGTTGGTTTCACAGCCTCACACTGCTACTCCGCACACAAGTAACAGTGATACACTGTAACCTGTCTTGAGTGCCATGCATATTGCAGTATTAGAACATTTTCTTTTTATATATATATAACCAGTATATGCCAAAATAAGAAAAGACAACAAAAGTAGACTTTATTGTACTTTTAAGGTACAGTAGGATGGATTATTCCATTGTCACATTTACATGGCAAAGCACTGCATTCATCATGCAATGATTACTATGTATGCATGTGCTCAGTCATGTCCAACTCTTTGCAACCCCATGGACTGTGGTCCACCAGTCTCCTCTATCCACAGGATTTTCCCAGCAAGATCACTGGAGTGGGTCGCCATGTCCGCCTCCAGGGGATCTTCCCAACCCAGGGATCAAACCTGTGCCTCCTGCGTCTCCTGCGCTACAGGTGGATTCTCTGCTCCTGAGCCAACGGGGAAGCACACAATGACACTGAAGTTGTGCTAGAAGAATACACTATACACCAATATCACCACACTTAGCATGTGCATGGTATTCCCAACTCCCAGGCAAGCAATGCTCAGGAATTTGGAAAACTTAAGAATATCTCATCATAGTGTAATTCTTCACAAAAACAAGATATCAAAGTGAGCAAGGATAAAAGATGAAAATATGTAAGCGTCCAAGTGGCTCATTCGTTAGCGACACAAAGAAAACAGTCTACTAGGAGGTGAGTTCATGAAATCTTGTTTAATTGTAACAGCAGAAGACATATGTCCAGAGAAAATCAATTTGTTGAACACTGTTATCCTTTTGGCAAGACCAGTTGCTCAAAAATTTAATGAAATTTGGGAGCCACATCAATAAACAATTAAAAAATGAAGCAAATTGGAATGGTTTCCTGTGGTTTTTGATGAGAAGATAGATTTTACTGATACTCTTTCAGCTGTTTGAGGAGACTGTGCTGAGTTGTGAAGGAACCAAATAATCAGTCTCTATAAATGCCCAGTGTGGAAGAAGTATGGGTGACAGTATGTCCAAGAGATAGAGAAAATACTAGTTGGAAAAACTGAAGAGGAATCTGCTGAGATGTGTTGACAACTAATAATGGTAAGACCCATGTGTGGAGAAGGAGAAGCTTTATTTGGACCGATTTACAAAGCTTGTGAAAATGTAAGATGCTTAACGCCTGTGATTACTCACTGTGGGAAATATAAGAACCTCTCCATTGTCACGGAGCCCATGGTGTTAATAATGAACTTCTTTTTCTATCATAGACTTTATCTTCTTCAGTTCTGGGAATTTGTGGGTCAGGACTAGAAGTTGAATACTCTGACTTATCCTAACATAGAGCAGTTGGATGACCTAGGAGTGGTAAAGTTTTATCATGAATTTTGAGCTCAGGGACTGGATAAATAATTTTCTGAACTAGAAGAACTGTTCTCAATCAATGTCATTGAACTTAATGGCTTTGGACATGGCCTTTTGCTGCTGACTTGATAATGTTTCTTAATGAACTGAAGCTAAAATTACAAGGCAAAAACTGCACTTACAGGCAAAAGTTATACTGTGGTAAAGTCATTTCAATAACAACTAACATTGTTTGAATCATAAATCATGTTAAGGTGCTTTGTACACTTCCCAATCTGTCAAATGTTAAAAATGAGAAGCTTTATTGCTATTCCACATACATTTACAGTGGATATACTTTGTGAGTGTGAACAGTTTCAGCAGCATTTTTTGGACATGGATGTAAGTGCAAAGGAAATTTTCATATTTGAAAATCCATCTAATGAGGTAACTGAGGAGAGCTCCCATCTCACCTTCAGGTACAAGTGATTCATCTGTAATGTAATGACGTGCAGAAAGGCAAATACCAAGTGAAAAACCTAACGGAATCCCACCAACAGCTCCCAGGGCATGCATGTGCTCAATTAAAATGCTGTGGTTGTAGACGACAGTAGTGTTTGGCAATACCTATCTCTGCAAAAAGACATTCATAAAGATGAAGTGCAGAACATCTCATTTCAGATCAGCATTAACAAACATACACTTTGAAACAATTTTGGTAACAGAGAACACTGATTAAGCAAAATGTTATCCTTTCTCAATATTTCATTCATTTCCTTGGTAGATTCTGGATAACAAAAATTTACACTCAATTACTATTCTGCTTTGGGTTTAACCACTAAATTTTTTGTGCAAATTTGTTTTCACTCTTGTCATATAAATACGTATGTAATATCCATGATTTTCACCTCCTGGATGGCAAAACCTGAAGTATTCACTATCTGGTCCTCTACGGAAAAGCTTCGCTGAACCCTGGTCTCTAGCCTCGTACAGTCCTACCTGTCTGCACCTGTCTTGCTCTGCTCCTCCCCTCTGCATTTCTGAGGGTGGTTCCTCTAACATGGCTCAACACAGGGCCTCCGCACATGCGGCTCCTCTAGCTGGAACTCTCTGCCCTCTCCTTCTCTGTGTGAACTGGACTCTGCGTTTACAAGCTTTTGCCTGGTAAATTCTTCAGAACTCAGCCCAGAGGCCACTTCCTCTGAGAAATCGTTCTGACCGAGTTACCAGTACCCTACAAAATAGGGTAGTTCTCTCTTGATGTCTGTCTTCCCCCCTGGAATGTAAGCCCCATGATGCCAAGGCCAGTGCCTTGTTAGAATACTAGGGTCCCCAGAACCTAGCAGTGGTCTAAACACACATTTGTTGAATGAATCGAAGAATGCTGAACAAGTACGCTCTTCTCTGTGAGCTGCAATTCAAATGGCCCTGCTAATCAGCCCCCTTAACCCCTCCCCCATGCTATGAAAAACCCCTTGTTTAACTGTGGCATCATATCCCAGTTTGTAAATTACCATGTCACATGAGCCACCCTCTACCCCTGACTCCTGCACAAGGTGTGGCATCTAAGATGTTTTTCTCCACTGGGACTAATGCTGGTGTGAATCATACTTGTGTGCACATTTCAGGATCTCTTTGGGCCATATTTGATTCATATGGCCCAACTACGGAAGTCTTTTGAAAACAATGAATAATCTCATTAAAAAAAGAAAAATAGCTGCCAATTTTGAAGGAAAAAAATCATGTAAGTTTCACTCTTTTAATAATTTGCATGCTTTTAATTATGAGTGAGATTAACTTGAAGGGCTTCCCTGATGGCTCAGTGATAAAGAATGGGCCTGCAACGCAGGAGATGTGGGTTGGATCCCTTAGTCAGGAAGATCCTCCGGGGGAGGAAGTGGCAACCCACTCTAGTATTCTTTCCCGAAAAATACCACGGCCAGAGGAACCTGGTGGGCTACAGTCCAAGGAGCCACAAAGAATCAAACATGACTGAGCGACTAAGCATGCATGCACAAGAATAAGTTGGAAGACTGAGTTCTATCAGCCCACTGGGTCTTGGTTTTAGGGGCCCATGTTAGTTCTGGAGCTGGTCTGACATCATCAACTAGTTCTGATGCCAGATCAACTGGTTTTCTAGCCAGGAACTTTTCCCCTAGGCTGAAGTATATAGGTCTGGTGGCCTTAAGGATGCTGACATAGTAGAAATACCTTCTGTCTCATTAAAGATTTTTTTCCCACCCAAACTCTTCCTTCCCCAGCAGCAGAGATCAGACTGCCTCAGATTTGCATCATATCTTTAAATAACCTCTTTAAACCTCAGTTTTCTTGTGTATCTGTAAAATGGGGATAATACAAGTCTTCCCTTGTAGGTTTGCTGCAAATGAAAGAAAGCATATAAAGTACCCAGAATAGCACTTGGCCTAATGTATGTGCTCAATTATTAGTGATCATTGTCATAATGGTGCTGTTTAATGTGTGAGTTTCCATCATAGCCTGTTCTCATGGAGATAAGAACAGTCTGGGTAATTATAAAATCGCTGATGCTCGCTCTGCAATGTTCATGTTATTTCATTAACTAGGACTCTATTAATGTCATTTAGGCAAAGGTTGAACTAACACTTATTTCTAGTACAGAATAAAAAATATATGTACTGAGAAAATAAATAGCATAAACATGATTGTCATGGAAACAGCAGTGCCTATTTCAGAGAAAAGCATATGTTTTCCAGCACTTTAGAAGTACCCACTCTCATACAATGAAACATTAACTGTAAATCATTTTTATTTCTCCATTAAAGCAGGTCCACTAAAAATCTCTTTTCAACAAATATTTTGTCAGCAGAGTTTGAGCTATTACATATAATTAAAATGAGCGACTCTGTGTTCCATTAAGAACAGTTTATAGTTCATACTTTTCACTCTTTTCTATGCTTTCTGCAGTCAATATGACCAAGAGGTTGATTTGTGTAATTTAGGGAAGCCAGCACATCTTTGATTGAAGTATGCTTATTTACATTTCTTTGGAACTGCTGGGAGTGAAAGTGCCCATTAAAAAAAAAACAGTATTTGTTTCTTTTTCCAAATAAAGTCCTAATCACACATACACAAATGTACACACACACACACACACACACACACACACAATGTATAAATATCTAACTTCTATGGGATCATACAGAATAAAATGTACACATATACAAATGGTAGTTTCACTCCACTTGTCTGTAGTAAATGTATGATTTTTATACTTGGTGGATAACTGAATTCTCACAAATGAATTGTGGGTTAGAACGCAGCTTATAGTAGATAAAAGAGAACTGATTCTTTGCTTGCTACACACACACACACACACACACACACATTTATCTCATGCTACTTAAACTCCATTGGTTGTAAATGAACTAAAAGATAAAAAAAAACAAAAACAAAAACAGGAACTGAATCCATCTCCCATACAGTAATACAACTTTAATTTTTAATTTCAAAGTAATTCTTGGATTTAGAGCCCTTCCCTCAGAGAAACAGTGATGGCTGGGCCTCAGGGTTCAGCTCCCAGCGCCTCTCAGCCCCGGGCCCACCCCCTAGAACACAGAGCAGCACACAGGCCCAAGGACGCCCCTCCCGCCCTGCTTACAGGGGCCTGCTTCACTGGGCCTGGCTCTGAGGGCCATTCTGGAACCTCCTCCAGGACGGAAGGCGAGACAGTAGCTCTGAGAATGGGCACCTTTCGGGGTGGGGGGAGTGGTGGCAGGGGGTCTCTCCCGGACGGGGGCTGAGGGTCCTCTCACATCCTGAGTGCACTCATGAGTTGGGCAAGCACAGAATATCACTGGCAGAGGAGCTTAGAATGCCAACCTTATCTCTCCAATCTTACAGGTGGGCCAAGTTCCCCCCGTTCTGTCTGGCTGCCCCTCACCCACAGAGCAAAAACTTGGTACAGTCAAAGCGTTTGTCTAGAAGCCCATGCCTGGACCCAGGAGGCGTCCCATATGCCTCAGTCCTGGATGGGGAAGGGCCCGTGTAGACAAAATCCACGTGGTGTGGTGGGTACCAGCCAGGTCCTGGCTCAGCCTCTGCTCAGGCTGCAGTCCTATCCTCCCATCACAAGCCAGCCTGCATCTTTCACCACCGTGACAATTCTGCAACCTTATGGCAAGCCTTAGGCCTATAAAAATGTGATAACATTGACAGCTAATGCTTACGGTGCCCCTGCTGCCTGTCCAGTGACATGCAAACAGCTTTATCTCCCTATTTCATTTATGTTCCACAAGAACCCAACTGGGTAAGACCACCATGATACCCATTTTATAGATGAAGAAACTGAGGCCCCTGAGAAATTAAATAACTTGCCATGATGGCCAAACTGGTAAAAGCATGTCAGGCGATATGACTTAAGGGCCTGGAGGCTTAACCTCTATGCTCTGCGGCTTCTGTGGGCTTTGATGACAGTGCTCTCCCAAGAATTCAATGAGTAACCTGAAGGAATGCGACTGAAGGCATGTAAACTGTCCAGTAAACAGAGGCTCTTTCAATAATAGAGGCTATTTCAATAACAAAAGTCCTTATCAGTAAAAAAAAAAAAAAAATTAGAATTCTTCCCACTACACATTTACGGGCAGCCAATAATGAGCCTGACACTGAGACTTACTTTTACAAGGTCTGTTCCTGTTGGTGAGACCCTGCACCCCTCCGACAAGTGGTGCTGGTAATTCAGTTTTACCCTGAATCACTAGAGCTTTCCGTTAGTTTTTCTTGGGGAAAAAGCATTTTATCACCAAGCAGGTTTAGAAAATGGAGGATTCCATTGTGTTTTTCCATGTGGTGCTCCCAGCAGAAAAGTGAAAGAAAGTGAAGCGTGAAGATGAGAGGACTGAATCAAAGCAGGGCTGTTTGGAGAATCGATCAGGACTGGCCAGGATCTGTACAAAATACAGCAGACCGGCTTCAGCCCCTCAGAAGCAAGACAGCGGTAAGGCAAGCTGGGAGCAGGACGTGACACAGTTCTTCACAGTGTGTTGTGTGGAACAATGGTAATTTGGGGAAATTAAGGTCTGACTTTGAAGAGAAGGCTCTGTGACTGGTTTAACTTAGGTCAGTGGTTTTCAAAACGTGGGCCCAGACCAGGGCATCAGCAGCACCGGGGAAATTGTTGGGAATGTACATTTCAGGCCCCTCCCCAGGCTGGCTGTGTTTCAGCAAGTCCTGGCCCAAGTCTGAGAACCACTGATTTAGGGAAATGCTGGCTTCAATAGAACCACACAGGTTTCCTTCCTGTACACTTTATTCCAACCTCCAATACACGCATGGTTACTGTGACTCTTCCAGAAGGAAGTAAAATATACAATTTTCCCTCAAGTGTCTTAGGCTTTGGAAGCCTGTTTCCATGGAGCATCCCTAGAGGATGCTGCTCTGTGAGCGGCACAGCAGGCCAGGCACACAAAGCCTCATTTCTGGGGCTGTGAGGAGCTACAGATTGCTTAGTTCTGGCTCATGGGGATTAATAAGGAGTGCTCGACAGACCCTTGAGACTAATTCTGAGCTGTCTCTCTGAGCTGTCAGGGAACACCAAGATTTAAAAAAATAAAAAAATTTCTGACAGGCAATTGTGAAACCAATTCCCTTCGGCACAGGCGGAACCTCCCCCTAAGGCTAGGGGAACAACCAGCCCATCTCAGCAGGGCAGTGATCATTATCTCCACAAGGTGGCGCTCCAGGCTGCAATTATTTTTAGGTTCTGGATGACCACTGCAATGACCCTGACAAAACTGAAACTAAGGTTTCAACACTGTTCACATAGATGGTTTTCTACATAATCATGGTTTAAGTATGACCACGTTTGAGGCAATGCATTTTTTTGGTCTCTCTTGGTCACTGCAACATAATATAAAGTAGAACACAAGAACATAATTTCTGGGCCCACTGTAAAGCACAGCAAGTGTGCTGTCTCTCGGTTCTCTTTCTTTCAGTACAAGCAAAAATATTAATGATTAAATTATAAGCAATCGATATAGCCATTTAGTTAAATCAGAGTTGAAGGAGTTAATTGACCTTCACATAGAAAAGAAGAAGTTTTTTTCTTTTTCAAAGACACAAATTCAACCCTTGAAGCTAAAAAAAACCTCTGAAATATTCCTGGAACATCATAATTGATGTTTTTTCTCTTCCTGGGTAGAAGCAGGCTGATTGAGCTGTTTCTTTATATTCAGATTTTGATAGGGTTTAGCAAATAAAAACACCGGCTGCTCAGTCAGATGTGAATTTCAGATAAATAACACTTTTTTTTAAAGAAAAAGTATGTCCCATACAATGTTTTAGATGTGCTTATAGTAAAAAAAAAAAAAAAAAAAAATTAAAATCTTCCTTATTTGTGGAAGACTTGTGGACTCTGGGAGAAGGCGAGGGTGGGATGTTTCAAGAGAACAGCATATTGAAACATGTATATTATCTAGGGTGAAACAGATCACCAGCCCAGGTTGGGTGCATGAGACAAGTGCTCGGGCCTGGTGCACTGGGAAGACCCAGAGGGATGGGGTGGAGAGGGAGGTGGGAGGGGGGACCGGGATGGGGAATACATGTAAATCCATGGCTAATTCATTTCAATGTATGACAAAAACTACTGTAATGATGTAAAGTAATTAGCCTCCAACTAATAAAAATAAATGGAAAAAAAAAAGAAATGCAAAAAATAAAAAAAATAAAATAAAATCTTCCTTATTTGAAATTCAAATTTAACTGGGCATCCTGTATTTTGTCGGCAACCTCACCTCCGAGTAATACCCCACTTTCTGGTCCTCTTTTCTCTCCATTACTTACTTTTCTGAGGAGACCCTGAGACAGAGGTCACAGCTGTGGCAGGACTGGGGCTATAGGCCACACCTTGTAAGTTTCCCATTTGCCTGTGGGTCAGCTCCTGCCCTGCGACCTTGGAACTTCTTGGCTGGAAAGGGCAGCGCTTCCTGCCCCAGTAGACATTAGACACCCCTGGGGAATTTCAAATTCTGCCCCTGTCACAGATTCCCTTTCAGTGAATCTGGATGGGGCCCAGGTACATGCATCTTAAACTTTCCCAAGTAACTCTAACATACCCCCAGGCTGAGCAACCAGACCAGAGCGGATTCAGAGTGTCCATCTGAGAGCTTCCTCAGCTGTAGGTCTTGCTCAGAAGCTCTGGGGCCCCAGAATTTTCACTGTCAGCAAGTTGCCAGGTAATTCGGGTGCTCTGGGGTGATCCCACCGTGAACAGCTAGATTTTAGAGCAGGAAGAACTGACTTGTAGAGCCTGTGAGTTTTTCTCTCATTCTTCAGAAAGCCTCCTAATGAACAACTGCTTTTTCCAGCCCTTTTTGTATTATTTCATTTCTTCTGAAACAGACATCACTGTCCCTAAGCTCACATAGTTTAACTGCATGTTGGTTAATTAATTGCAAGATATCTGAGCCACACGCACCCTTAGAGGCTGCTGAGTGCTTTCGGCTTCCTGGTTAGGCATCCTTCTGATTGCTCCTGGTACTCAGGTTCACATCTCTGGGAAGAATTCATCAGAAGGGTAAGCAAGACTCTGCTCCACTCACCTGTCCACGTGCCAACCTTCCATTTATGTCCTCAGTTTTCTTCCTGACACTTTGTAAAATGGTTTGAGGAAGTTCCTTTAGCACCATAGCCTCAGAGGGAGGGAAAGAGGAGGAGAAAACAGAACTCATCCTCCAAGCCTTGGGGACCCTTACCGGAGACTTCTTGATGTCAGAGACGGCGTAATTCCCTTGGGAGATCCATCTGGCAGATTCAGTTAGAGACAAACCGGTTCCGTAAAGGTTGATGCTAAAACGACCCTGGAATAAATGGCCAGTGAACAAGATTTTTAGTCCACGTGACATCCTGAGCAAAGGTCCCACACAATAAAAAGGTAACCTGGAGAAAGATATTAATTCATTATGATAGCTAACTAATGACTGAGGGTTCTTTGTAGTGGTGGTGGTGGGGGGCGGTTCTGAACGAGGCACTTTACATGCATCATCTCATCCATCCTTGCAAGAGCAATCTGAAGGGGATTTTCCTCACAGATGGGGACAGGGAGGCCTGGCGAAGGTGATTAACTTCTCCAGGAGACACAAAAAGCCCAACTCAAATTTTCCTAACTTCAAAGTCCTCACTCTCAACCACCGCTATTCTGTGTCCCTAACACAGCAATCTTGATGTTGCTCACAATTATCAGATTCCTACAGGAACAAAATGCCACAGTGTAATTTTTTTAACAAGATCTCGCTGCCAAAGCTTCCTGGGCTTCAGCTCCCCACAGCGTTGAGCACGCTGAGTCCTAAGCACAGCGGGGCGAGACTTCAAAGGAGCGGCGCGTTCTCGGGGTTAGCCTGCAGAGGGCGCGCGCGGCCTGCGCTAGACCAAGGCAGGGCCCGGCCGAGCTGCCAGGCCCAGGGAACCCACACCTCCCAGCTGCGCTGTGGGATTCCTTGCCAAGCGTGGCCTCGGGTGTTTCCATTTTTATTTCCAAGGAGACAGTGCAGCAGAGAGCCTTTCTTGCCTTCCCCATCTGTCTCTGTGTATTTCTCTCTTGCAAAAATGACTCCACAAAGGCATCTTAAATAGATTCACGAGCGGTTTGGGAGTAAAAAGTGTGCTTTCTGCAAGAACCACAGACAGTGGGTGAAGGCTTCCTCTCTGAGCCTTAAGATGGAGTTTTTTGTCAAAACGGTCTTAAATACATCAGAGAGAGTAGTGAGGTGGAGGCTCACACCTAATCAGACCTCACCTAATCAGACCTAAGTGTAAAGTAGGCTTTTGATGTGGACAGATGATTTACCCTGTAGGAACCTCAGTTTGTCCATCTGTAAAATGGAAGGTAATAATAAGAGTGTCTTCCTCAGAGTAGTATAGTGAGGACTAAATGAAATTAGCTGAGGACTGTATGGCTGGTCCCTAACAGATATTCAAAAATACTGGTATTAGTCCTGCATTTTCTTATTGTTTTGTAAGTGTTCGTTTTCCCTCTCCAATTAGCAGTAAGCTTATTGAGGGGTGGGACGTGGCACTGCTTTGCTTATTTATATCAGTTATGGTTTGTAACACACGACGAGGCACTTGATACAGTCTTGCTGTGCTTAGGCGCTCAGTCGTGTCTGACTCTTTGCAACCCCATGGACTGCAGCCCACTAGGCTTATCTGTCCATGGAATTTTCCAAGCAAGAATGCTGGAGTGGGTTGCCATTCCCTTCTCCAGGGGATCTTCCCGACCCAGGTATCAAAGTCAGGCCTCCCATATTGCAGGCAGATTCTTTACCAGCTGAGCCATCAGAAAGCCCCGTTATAGTCTTTATAAATATTACATCCTAGCTCTTCCATAAAGACTTCCAGGATCAGGTGTAACTTGGAAGTTTCCTCTCCATGTTGGTCCCATAAATGCCAAACAGTTTATGAACTCTTTAGGGGCCTTAAATCCTACATCTGTACACTGGGAACAAAGAACGTTCCTATTCACAGAGGTGATGGGAGGATTTAGTGCGGTCTAAATCAGTGGATGTCATCAGAGGACATTTTTGCCCCCACGGGAAATCTGGTAACCTCAGGAGACATTTTTGGTTGCCATGAAACAGCTGGTGGGTACGTGAGCCACCGGCAGCTGATGCAGAGAGACCAGAGTTATTACTAAATATCCTACAAGGCACAGCCTAGTCCCCAACAACAGAGAATTATCCAGCCCAAAACATCAGTCGTGCTGTGGTCAGGGGGAGGAATTTATCCTAGAATCCTGACTCTTCTGCCTTTAGTGTGATCTCAGGCAAACGGCTTACCCTTCTTGAGGCCATCTGTAAAATGGGTAATAAGATAGAAATACAGAAGATATGACACACCTAGCCCATTACCTGGCAGAGAATAGGTGAGGTTTTAAAAATATTTTTGGAACTTGCTTTATGACAGTACCACGCAGATGTTAGTGGCTGTCGTGTTGAGTGACTTCAATACCCAAGTATCTGTGATTGTGGTTACACCGGATGCTCAAAACCCTCCTTGCTTAGCCTCCTTAGACACTGGCTTCTGGATATGCTACATTAGCCCACCTGGCCAATTCTTACCTTCCTAGCCTTCCTCCCCTGAAGAGGGCATCCACACTAATCACAACGCCCAATCCTCACTATTGCCAAGGACACCTTCTTCTTTCCTTCCTTATCCTGTTTCCCATGAAGACTACCTGTCGAACCTACATCTCAGAAGACAGACGTGATATGCTTTGACGTCAAAGTTCTTAGAAGGAACAGGCTTCCAGCCCCAGGATGTGTCATGCTGATCCCCGTGTTCAGTGTCTGAGCACGTAGCTGAGCGGATTACATGCTGCCTAGATCTGCCTTTTCAGAGCAGGTGATAAACAAGTTTTTGTTCTTATTCTCTCTCTGGCCTTTTCAGGGTCAGGGATTTGCATTTTTAGCCAGCATCCTAGTTGATAATTAGCACTCTGAAAGTTGCCTGTCATCAGTGGAGTGTAGGCCTACTGTCCTTTCCCGCTCTGTCCCCACAGACCTTATCTTCAGGGTCTAAAGGGCATGAGAGTTTTAGCTACTATCTCCTGCTGCTGATTTAAGAGTAAAGGTGATTACGGCATGCATACACTAGATATTCCAGAAAGGTCAGCAAAAGATGTAGCACTGACAAAGGGAGGTTTTGTTCTCTGCTGGACAAGGCTGTAGGCTGTACAGGTCTTGTCTGAAAACGGGATCAGCCAGACACATCTGCTGTCATGGATTCGGACTCAGATGTACTGGGCATCAAACCTGGCCTCTCCCGAGCACCAGCGTGGGTTTGGATAAGTCACCTGACCTCTCCACACCTCTCAGCTGCCTCATCTGAGCGTTCTCACAGGATGCTGTGGATGATTAAACGCTACACTGATTTAGAAATTCTGAGCACAGTGTCTCAAGTGCAGTGGACACTCAGCAGATACTCATAACACCAGCATCAGTAATAGTGACGCCACATGCACTATGATCAGGATAACAACATACACTCTGGCTGTGTCTTGACTCCAGGACTCTTGGGGAACCCACCCTTAATGATACATAGATCCTTAAAGCAACAGCAGTGGATGAGGAGGAAAAAGCAGCAGATTGTCAAACACATCGTCTGCTTGGATATCTCTGCAGTCACAGATCAGAGGACAAGCAGGACTCCAGAGTAGTTTGCATAGTCCTGCTTTCTACAGACATTTCCCTGGAAAAGTGATTTGAAAAACTCCCACCTTTCATCAGCATTATTGGTGCTCAATAAACTTCTAAGGAATTGAATTCTAAAAGTATCTGATACGATTTGAAGAATAGACTGGAAAAAATACAAGTTAGCCTCTCACTGGCTTTGCTTTTCTCACTTAGCAACTGCATTAGTGTCAGGATTTAGCAAATCAATCAGTTCCTTTGTCTCTGAGTTATTAAAATAATCGAATGCAAATTACCTCTCATTTACTTAAGTTTCCCCAAAGATGCACATATCGAAACAAGAAAATCCTGAGGCATTTGAAAAGGGCAGGGATGGCCAATCTATAAGCTGTTAAATGCAACCCATACGAATGGGGTGTTTGAAGTCATCAAGTGCTCTAAAGAAACCGCACTTCAAAAGTTTTCAATTCCTGGGTAATGGAGAAAAGGCCCCTTTTAACATTCTGTCCTTTGTTTATTTTCTTTCTCCCCTGAGAGCTTCCTTTTCACTTCTCTAAAATGTTTAGCAATACTTTCTAAAGCTTGGGGCTGAGAAAACACGTCTTAAAAGAAAACTCAGATGTGTTTGTCTTTGGATGGTCTCTAGTTGTGTGTAAATGCATCCTGGGGAGGCAGTGCCTGGCACTCTGAGCATCTCCCAGTCCCAATTCCTAGAACCTGTGAAGGCTCACAGCAACATGAAGATTTCCAACACAGAGTCTAATATCAGCTTTATAAAGACCTCATGTAAACCAGCGAAAAAACTGGGGCTAGGTTCTTCTGTCCAGAATCACCTAATTTATTACATGTCTCCTGCCTTCTCCTTGCAGAAGCCTGTGGCAAAGACTGACGCCTACTTGGCAAAGTGAGCCAAGGATGATTATAACAGCCTGTTTTAAAAGGCAAGCCAAATTAACAAGCCACACCTCTAAGGAGGCAAAAACCTGCGCAACTGTCGAATGGGTAAGACTGCCACTGAGCAGCTCTGCTGGAGACAGAATCCAGGAGATGGCTTTGCACTTCCTGGTCCAGACGCTGCACGCTTACACAGTGGAAACTGGACTGACAGTTTTTCTGTGTCATGCAATATTCAGAATTTTTAACGTCTGACAGCAGAGTGTTGGAATCTGCTTGTACTGCCTTTTGAGAGACAACCGTGTGCACATCTCCCTAACTCTCCTGTGTGTGATAGGATACTGACGACTTGAAAGCAGTCAGGGAGAAAACTGACACCCCAGAAATAGGCAAATGCTACAAACCACTGCTTCCCCCTGCCTCCATCCCTTGGAGAGCCAGTCATTAAACATTTACCAATATCATCATTTGTTTAACCAAAGCTTGCCATCTGATATCTGATTTCTTTATAAGATTTTACCATGATCACTGATGCATTTTGCTGAATGCAGAAGTCTGGCTCATGGCCATGACCATTTCCTTAGGAAGCACCCCTAGGAGCTGAGAGGCTGGGAGCATCTGTAAGGCCTGGATACAGGTGGCCAAACTGCCTTGCAGAGCTAGAACTGCCATTCTGATTACATTTACAGAAAGAGATGCAGCCCAGGGTGGGGGTGGGGTGGCCAGGGTGGGCTGTGAATCCCTGGGGGCGGTGGGTCGGCGTCCCTGGTTCGTACCTGTGGGCACTTGGCGGCACTGTAGCAGTCCCCAGCAGTGGCAAAGGGGACGGGATGTCCTTCATTGGTCCTGGCAAATTGTAAGTCAGTGGCTGTGGGGTTTTGGAGAAAGGGTTGAAGGGAGGGGAAAGGTGGGAGTAGGAGAAAGAGTTTGGGAAGGGACAGGATATTAACAAGGAGACAGAAGGGAAGAAGAAGAGTTAGAGAAGTCACAAGCGGGTATGGGAAATTAAAAAAACAATCCAAAATATGATTAGTGAGCAAATGGATCCAGATGTACACTTGCTCTGCTCCCCATTCCCCCAGTCACTATATTTGTGGTTCCGAGAGCTTCCTTCCCTGGGTTTTACCAGCACTGTCTGTCTCCTCACAGTATGGAACCCAAAAAAGGGGGTTTCAGATAACTCTGGACTCGATTCTTATATAAATAAATGTGTGAATCACCTCGCTTAAATGCAGTGTAATTGGATGACTGTGAACCTCCTGTAGACGGCAGCCTCGGAGGCTGCAGGACTGGGGAAATCAGCCATCCAAGCATTTCCAGCTACTTAGCAGTTCCTCCCCGAGGCTCAGCTGTCCTCCTGTGGCCCAGGCAGTCTAGTTGCCAAAATGTGGAGCAATTAGAACCCACATCTTGAAAATATTAATGGCAGTTTCTCAAGTTTGGGGCTAACTTGTAGTTTTTAAAAAAGCCAATAAAAACAATGCTTGCGTTTTTAACCCTCATGTAGGTCCTGAGAACAGCTGGGAGATTGGGGAAGATGGCTCGGGAGCAGACAGACTGAGAATCCTGCAAAATCTGATGAGGACTGGAGACCAGAGGCAGCTTTTTAAAACTTTCTGCTTTGTCTTTTGGGAATAGCAAGAGAAGGCCTCATTCTTTTCTGCAGTTTTGTGGGAGGGAAATCTGAGTCCCCCATCCTGCCTTTTCCAGCTTCAGCACCAGGAAGCTCTGGGTCTCAGCTGGGGCAGTATTTAAGTGGGAAAAACTGCAGACTCTGCCCTTAGCCCTCATCAGTCTGGCTGAAGGCAATTAAAAATATCTTGGTACAAATCAAGTGTAATCTACCTCCAGAGGAAAGCAAGGCAAGATTACAGGAACAATGTTAATGAAGAAAACTTAATTATTCATTATTTCTGTTTTCCCTCCATTCGAGGGAACGGGTTGGGATATTTGAGCTGTCTTTAACCACTCCTATGATTAATGTCCCTAACAAAAACGCAGTGTCGGCCAGAGTATGAAATCAGCCCACGGGCAGGCTAGTTTAAAAAATAGGTAATTCTGTCCTCCGTATTTCTTCTGTAAATTGGCCATCAGAGCAAATCCGTTTTTGCTCTCGTGTGTGTGTGTGCGCATGTGCGTGCATGTGCATGCGCGCCCACGTGTACACACTGCTAGTGGGAGCCCAGGGCGGGGCGAACGTCGCGTCTGACCCCTTAAGACGTCTTCCTGCAGAGCGGTTGCTCTCATGCTTGCTCTGCCGAACTCAAGGCTCGGCCTTAAGGTCTCAACTCTGATGTCATATTTTGGGAGGCGCTGCCCTGACTTCCCCACTATGATGGCACCCCTTTACTGTGCCTCTGTCTCCTCTGTTCGTCACAAATCTGATGGAGAACCGTCCACTGCTCAGCCCTTTCCAGGCACTGGGGGGACCACAGTGATCAAAGGTGGAGCAAACCCCACCTTCAGGCAGCTCAGACCAGGGTTGTCATCCCTGGATCGTAAGTTCATTTTCATACCCTCTGGGCCTCGGCCCAACCCCTGAGCAGGATGTGTCACGGCCTGAATGGAAAGACCCACAGACACATGCCCCAGAATGCTCTATGGGACTTACTGATGATCTGCATGGTGGTCAGATCTATTCTGACCTTCTGGAAGCTGGAGAACCCAGCCGCTGTGTAGTCCTTCCGACACTGACAGTCATCACGTCGGCTCCCGTTGTAGGGGCATTCGGTTGGGTTGTGCAACCTACAGGACAGAGAGAATGTTCTGGTGAGGATGGGGAGGCGTTTCTAGGGATCTCCAGGTGGTCTGGGCTCTTCTGAGCTTGGAGTTCTCCTACCTGTGCCCGTAAACCTCAGAAAAATTCTCAGAGTCGCCATGGACCAGTGTCACATACTCCTTGGGGTGGTCAGAGTGCATCCCTGCACAGAAGACCTGAAAGACAGACCAGACAAAACCTGCCAGGGGAGGCTCAGAAATGGGACCATGACAGCCAGGACTGCTGGCTCTGAGAGCAGTGTAGAAATAATGACTGAGCTCGGACGAGTACCTTCAGGAGCTTTCCTGTGACAATCAGGAAGTATTCCCCATCTTCGCCGGCACCTTTCAGCCTTTTCACTTCCTTACAGTTCTGGGGCAGCTCACCTAGAACACACAAACCCATGAACATGAGCGGTGAGTCTGCAGTGGCTGCCAATGGGACCGGTTACACTATTCATGCACACAGTGGTCAGCGTGGGGCCAATGTCTCAAAAATAAACTCTCTACTCCAGAAAAGGGCAGGCAAGCGCATCAACAATGAGACCTGCTCTTCAAGCTCCAGAAAGGTGGCTTTGGTTGGCTGACTTACAGTTATAGATATTGTGGCAGGTTTTTCTTTCTTCTGGCTTCAGGTCAGCAGAGCATAAGTGGCTGGGCTGGTCGTCATTGGTGAGACACTGCACAGACCTGTGCATCACTCCCACGCCACACGACACGGAGCACTGTAAGCAGAGCAGGGTCTGTGAGGGGTCTGTGGAACCCGGGGGCCTGGAATTCCTGAGGCATGGAGCTCAGAGCTTAGAGGCTTGTTCAGAACCCCTGTGTTGCTGAAAACAAATAGCTGATACATGGACAGCACTTCCTATGGGCCAGTCTTTGTGCTGAGTTTTATACATACCTGCCTTTACATATGTACTTATGTACCTACATAGGAACTCAAGCATATGAGAAGTAAATAATTTTCTCATCTAAGCCTTGCAATCACCCTATGAGATAGTACTAGTGTTATTCTATTTTTAGAGAGGGAAAATTGGGGCTCAAATGTGAGGAAGTTTGTTTAAGGTCACGGTGGATCCATGATTGAAACCTCAATCACTTCCAACTGGTCCCAAACTTCTGCCTGATCATCACTGTGCATCAGTGAAAGTCTCATAGTTAGCAGCCAGGAGGCTGGGGCAATTTTCTAGGGCAGTTTCAATTTCAAATATTCTTACCTGTTATAACCCTAATGCAACCAAGAATTCCTGATCCAGAAGGACAAATAGGCTTCTTAGCAACAGAAGCTACAACAGTGAACACTTCTATAGCCCTTATTAGGGGAAAGACAAGAGTTCTGGGTGCTTTTTAATTTTAAATTGTGTTCAAACATGTGGAACTTAAAAAGGTGTCATTATAACCCAAGTGGTTTTTATGCAAGAATATTCATTTCATCTTCATAACCCATTCTGCAGGGGACGAAACAGACATGAACATTTGGCTCCTTGTCCAAAGATCAAACAAGTCAATCCTAAAGAAATCAGTCCTGAATAGTCATTGGAAGGACTGATGCTGAAGCTGAAGCTCCAATACTTTGGCCACCTGATGCAAAGAACTGACTCACTGGAAAAGACCCTGATGCTGGGAAAGATCAAAGGCAGGAAGAGAAGGGGATGAAAGAGGACAAGATAGTTGGATTGCACCACTGACTCAATGGACATGAATTTCAGCAAGCTCTGAGAGATGGTGAAGGTCAGGGAAGCCTGGCATGCTGCAGTCCATGGGGTTACAAAGCGTCAGACACAAGTGAGTGACTGAGCAACCACCACCAAGGCTGTTCAACTGGGAAGTGGCAGAACCGAGAATCAGGTGGAGGCTGTCTGGAGTCAGGGCTAGCCACCCCCACCCCCGGCCCCTGCTCTAAGCACCAGACCCACCGGTCAGAGCAGCCTTCTTTCCCTCTGAGCCCATTCCAAGATGCTGACTCCTGTCTCCCTCCCAGGGCTCTCCCGGGAGGCAGTCACTCAGGACTGCTCAGGTAAGGTACGTCTAAGTCGGGGTCTGAGACTCAGCAGCTGGCCACTGTGACCACCCAGCTGTCTACTTACGCTCCCCCAGTTGCCCACTCTCCAGGTGGCCGACACAGGGCACTCTCGCAGGAAGCAGGGCTGGACACTGGGTGGCTGCATGCCTGGGCAGTTGATGGTGGTTTGGTAGCTGTACTCGTAATTCTCCTTCCCGGTGTAAATCTCACTACAGGAGACCAGCCTTTGTTTGTAGCCTTTTCCACAGGTCACTGAGCACTGGGAAGAGGCGGGTAGAGAGCAGAGGTTGGAGCAGGGCCTGGGGGCAGCCACAATAGGCCCCTGACCTCCACATCGAACGCTGACCCCAGGACAACAGGGCAGAGAGCTCTCTTTATTAGCTTCTAATGCACTACAAGCAGTAGCCCACAGCACTCAGGGGACGTGCAAGCCCTCCATGAGCCTTCCAGGATCCATGCTCCCACTGCATATTTGCCCCCAACCAGTCCCCCGTGGGGGGCACCTCAAGCCCCTGCTCTGGATTTTCAAGGGGGAGAAGCAGGTGGGGGAGGCGCTCCGTCTGTCTTGGGTCCACTTACAGCATCCAAAGCTCTACAAGGATGGACAAACCACACTTTTCTGAACCTACCATGACTGCATCAGAGAAGTGACCCGGTGAGATGCAGAGAGCGCCAGAGACACCCTCTGTATAAAATCCAGGCTCTTTGCCGAAAGAGGACTGTGGGACAATATCCTTTCCTACTTGATGGTTTGCTTGCTCATCTGCCCTCTGCTCAGTCTTCTGTCCCCTGTCTCCCTGGCTATGTACTGGGTTGGCCAAAAAGCTCGTTCAGGTTTTGTAGAAGCAGAAAGTCCAAACAAACTTTTTGCCAATCCAGTATCTTGACTTAAATGTTACCTTTCTGCTTCTCTTTCACTCTCTCTCTAAATCATGCAGTCATTTAGGCCTTTTGCCATAATTATATGGCACTTAAAAATAGCCAGACAATCCAGAAAAGGAGAAAAAAGAAGTTTTTCACGGGTGTCCCAGCTCCCTTCTGTGATGGTATATTTAATTGGTTATTGGTAAGATTTCTAGATTGTGTTCAACTTCCTTAGCTACATACTTTATATGATATACTGTTTTAAAAAGAGAACAGAAATTAACCAACAAATTTAGTTTGGATGATATTTTTGGGAAAAGTCATCAAATAATTGGCCACTCACTGTAAAAATGTTACACAAAACTAAGGTAGAGTTTCAGGATTCTCAAGGTCAAAGAAGGGGCCTGAGTTCCAGATGAACCCTGGAAATTGTATGCAGCATGTGGCGTGTTTTGCTTTTCTAGGGGTGAGGGATCATAGCTTCTTGGCTCAGTTGTAAAGAATTTGCCTGCCCTACACACCAAGGAAACCAGATCTGAAAGAGACACGTGCACCCCAATGTTCATCGCAGCACTGTTTATAATAGCCAGGACATGGAAGCAACCCAGATGCCCATCAGCAGACGAATGGATGAGGAAGCTGTGGTACATATACACCATGGAATATTACTCAGCCATTAAAAAGAATTCATTTGAATCAGTTCTAATGAGATGGATGAAACTGGAGCCCATTATACAGAGCGAAGTAAGCCAGAAAGATAAAGACCATTACAGTATACTAACACATATATATGGAATTTAGAAAGATGGTAACGATAACCCTATATGCAAAACAGAAAAAGAGACTCAGATGTATAGAACAGACTTGTGGACTCTGGGAGAAGGCGAGGGTGGGATGTTTCAAGAGAACAGCATTGAAACATGTATATTATCTAGGGTGAAACAGATCACCAGCCCAGGTTGGATGTATGAGACAAGTGCTCGGACCTGGTGCACTGGGAAGACCCAGAGGGATCAGGTGGAAAGGGAAGTGGGAGGGGGGAACTGGGATGGGGAATACATGTAAATCCATGGGTGATTCATGTCAATGAATGAGAAAAACCACTATAATATTGTAAAGTAATTAGCCTCCAACTAATAAAAATAAATGAAAAAGTAAATAAATAAAAGGGAATGCTGTTTAAAAAAAAAAAAAGAATCTGCCTGCCAATGCAGGAGATGCAGGTTTGATCCCTGGTCAGGGAAAATCCTGTGGAGTAGAGAATGGCAACCCATTCCAGTATTCTCTGCCTGGAAAATCTGATGGACAGAGGAGCCTTACAGGCTACAGTCCATGGGGTTGCAAAGAGTCGGACAAGACTTAGCTACTAAACGACAACAACCATAGCTTCCATCAGTTCTCACTTGCTATTAAAACCAGTGTCTCTTTTTCCTGCTGTCTCCTGAGTTATCACATTATCCCACATGGCTGGCCGCTCCTGCAGCATTTCCAGGGGGAAGGCTCCCCTTGACGGGGTCCCTGAGGGAGGAGGGAGCCAGCCCAGCCACAGGCATGCAGAACATCCTCGGGCCTTCCCTTCCAGCTGGCTCGAGACTGGGAAACACTCTGTGTCCACTTCCTTCTTTGGCTGCTGCTGTTCAAATGCCCCAAGATGCAGCTGATACCAGGCCAGCGGAGTGCACGGCTCGTCTGAGGTATGTCATGCGTGGGTAGATGGCTTACAAATGGTATCTGGCCAAGCTGTGGGTATTTCAGAGTATCCAAAATGCACGCCTTGACCTCAGTCTGCATTACTTTAAAGGCTGAATGTCTGAGATGGCAGGTGCTAATACCCTTTCCCCCTGCCAGGCGGGAGCAATAGGAATCCCCATTTATGTGGGGGATGTGCTGGGAGGTAGTCTTTTATATCAATGGATGGGAGCTCCAAAAACGGTCAAGTTCTATCCAGAGGCCTCCAAGCTCTGAAAAGAACACATACCCTTCAGTAAATTTAAGAGCATCCTGAAAATGTTGAGTGCTCTGGCTTCCTTTATCCATTGCACACCAGAGTCCTGATGTGTAAAAGGCTCTCATCTCTGGGGGGTGGGGGGTTGGAGAGAGGAATAAGGTGGGGAACATCCTACGAATGAGTCTGAAAGATCACCTTTGCTAACACAGGACCCACATTTCTGCATGGCCTTCACTGGAGGGGAAGAGAACCTGTTCCTCTTACACACCATGTGCTAGTCTGTCACTGCTGCTGCTAAGTCATGGCAGTCGTGACTGACTCTGTGCGACCCCGTAGCCGGCAGCCCACCAGGCTACACCACAGTCCCCACCATTTCTTACTGCCTCCCTCATGCTAAGATATTTTCTTTCTTTTTTCTTTGGCTGTGCCCTGCAGCATGGGGGATCTTAGTTCCCTGACAAGGGATCAAACTCTTACCTGTTGCATTGTACAGAGTCTTAACCACTGGACCGCCAGGAAAGTCCCCTAAGATATTTTCTTATACTTAACCTTCTTCAGGCACCTGTAGCCATCCTCTAAGAACTCCTTTCTAATGATAATAACAGGACATCAGGGTGAATCACATGATTGTAGAGCTGAGGGGAGCTTGGACACCATCTCATGAACCTCCCCCGGTGTGCATATGTAGGACTCCAGCCCGGGAAGGCTTCCAGTTCTCAGGGAAAGAACCAGCAGGTAGGTGTGTGTCTCCCACATTCTTGCCCTCATCAGTCTGTCACCCCTAGGCCATTGCTGCCCGAAGGCAGTTTCAGAACCCCCAAGACCATACCTCTGACCATTCTCCTGTGATCCAGACATACTCGCAGGGCTGCAGACTACAGCTCTCACGGTCCACAGGCCGTGTGCTCATGTCGCAGTGCATGCCGTGAACCTCACCACCTTTGTCCTCATCCACACATACCACCTTCCGGTACCTGGAGCCTTCACCACAAGTCTTGGTGCACTGTTACAGATAAACAAAACAGGTGGTGATGTGGAAGAATAACAGATGATTTCTCATGTCTTGTTACTGTGATAATTTATTTTCCTTTTTATATACTCTTTAAGACTGGGAGATCTCTGAGTGTAGGTATCATCGGAGAACTCATTATTTTACCCTCATAACTTAACAACGTAACTGAGAAGAACACTGCATATTGGACTGCATACTGGATCTAATCCTTTGGCTCTAACTCTTGTGCTCTGTTGCCTGTACTTAGCCATGCTGCCTCTGCACCTTTTATAAGAGAATGTTGCCTGTAATGCATGTTACAGCCCATTCTCAAGGCTCTGACCTTTAAAGTATTCATATAAGAATAAAAAGTTGCCAAAAAGAAAATAACAATGGTCCTATTGGAGGTTTACGGGAATGTTATGACCAGACCTACTTGGACAGCTCTGAGAACAAAGAATTCTGGTATCAAGAAGTCTGCAACAACTAGCCATGTGAGTCTAGCTCTGATTAAGACGGTTCTTTGGGACACTAGTCCACCATCTTCTTGGTCCACTGGCTTTCTGAATAAAGTCAGAAAAGTGCTATTCCTTGCCCCAATACCTCATCCCTCGATTTACTGTGGCAAGCAGCATGAGCTTGAACTTGGTAACAACAATACTGTTTCTGCCACAGTGATCAGCATTCAATAAGTGACTGTCAGGATAAAGCAACGAAAGTGTGAACGAATGAAAACTGGATTTGGAAAGAACCTTACTTCACTCACTCAAACACTAAATCTCTTTAAAACATGTGGCCTCCAGTTGCTGGTGCTGAAATACCTCTAGAGTCAGGGAAGTTATTTCCTGTTCAGGTGGTCCATTTCATCTTATAACACAGAACCAAGCCTATCTCTTTGCTGACTCCAACCTCTTGTCCTAGTGGCTAATTCCAAGGGAGCATAAAGGACAAGTTTTGTTTCCTACAAATAACCACCCTCAGGCACCTGAGGATAGCTTTTCTGTGGCACCTATAGCCTTTTCTTCTCCAGACTGAACTGGTGTCATCCCTGGATCATTTGGCTAGTATCCACCAAGTTCCTAAGAAGTGTCTGGCCCTGTGATGGGTCTGGATGAATGGTAATGGACACAAAGAGCACAGAGATGAGCTGTATTTTAGTAGCAAAGACAGACATTAAAGAGGGACAGCTAGGGATCAAGATTGAGCCACTACCATAATTTCCATTTTTCAGATGAGTAAGCTAGGATTTAGCCACCTAAAGATCCCAGGCTATCCATCTCTTTGTGAGGTAAACAGGATAGATGGTTTTTATTCCCATAAACCATGTGGAGAACACAGAGAAAGTGGTATGTTTCAACCTAGAATGATCTTTGTGCTGACCACAAATTACTTATCTCATTTTACTTTGACCAAGAGCAAACCCCACTGTAAAAGTTTTACCTTAGTTATCTGTGCTGTTAAAGGTCTTCTAAAGCCTGTCCTATCTAAAGCATCGGTGTCACTCAACATTTCAAAACTCTAGATTACACAGGAAAGGCACTGTAACCAACCTGTGTCAAGGACAGTTTAGGTTTCCTTTAACCAGGGATTATAAACTCTGTTGTCTTGGGGCCTTATCCGACTACTTTGAACTGTCATTGCTGCTCACATAATATATTTTAAACTTTCTCCTGTTAGTCTAGAGAGTGTCACAGATCCCATTTCTCTTTTGTCTCTAACAAGTCTCCTTTGCTTTTATGACCTGCCTTATCCCAAAGGCATTTGAGTTTGCATTTTTTTTTTCATTTATTTTTATTAGTTGGACTGATTCATGTCAATGTATGGCAAAACCCACTACAATATTGTAAAGTACTTAGCCTCCAAAGGCATTTGAGTGTGGAATTCAGCTTGACCCAGAGATGTCTTACCTCATATACCTCTTGCCTTTTTTTTCTTTTTCTTTCTTTCCTCATTTCTTCCTTCTTTTCTCCCTTCTTTCTTTTTTTTTTTGGTTAGGAAAATAGACATAATCCATTCACCATTTTAACCATTTGAAAGTGTACAATTCAGTGACATATAATCACTAGCCATGCTGTGAAATCACATCACCCCAAAAGGGAACCCTACACCCTTTAAGCAATCACTCCTCCTTCCCTCTTTCTCTCAGACTGTGACAACTACCAATCTACTTTTTGTCTTCGTGGATTTGCCTGTTCTGGGTATTTCATAGAAGGGGAATCATCCAATATGTGGCCTGTTGTGTCTGGCTTCTTTCATTTAATAGAATGCTTTCAACGTCTTGCCATGTTAAGCACGGATCAGTATTTCATTCCTTTTTATGGCTGAATAGTCCATTGTATGGATATACCACATTTTTATTTATTCAAATGTTAATGGACATTTGGTTGTCTTGTCTTTTGGTTATTATGAAGAGTGCTGCTATTAACATTTGTATGCAAATTTGAACACCTGACTTCAATTCCTTTGGGTGTATCCTTAGGAGTTAGAAATGCTGGGTCATCTGGTATATCCATGTCTTTTGGGAGCTGCTTTGTTCTTTCAAAAAGTAGAGGCGGTATGTATGTGGCTGTGTCTTGATAGCTCCTTATCAAATATTTGCAAATTTAATTCAAAATTTCTGTTGCTTCGAATTCAACATCTAGAGCATGGAATCATTCGTAATTTTTCTGGGGCAAAAATCTGAATAGAAAACAGTGTGAGATGAGCACAGAGGAGCATCCTTTCCTACCAGTGCAGGAGACTTGCTGTGCCTGATGCCTAGCCTGGCTCTGACTCAGCAGTTCTTGGGATTTCTCTTCTCCTGAAGGATACTGAGAACCATTGTGAAGTAAAAATGTTTCAGTTGCTTCATGAAAAAAAGCTAAATGAGCCATTGAATGTCACAAAACAAAACTGGCTAATCTGTGATGTGTAGATCTGTGCAGAAGACATACTTAACTCCCCACAGAAAAGGTAATTCCTGAGAAATCAGGACTTAGATAGTGCAGAGAAGAACATATTACTGAGCAGTCAACCTGGACTAAACCTTCCAGTGTCCTCTTTTATTTTCACTAATCCATAGGACTTTAAGCTGTATCAATAAGTAACAGTTTAGGGCAGAAAAGCAAGGATTACTTTTCTGCTTGTTAGATATTTCTCCCTTGGTCTTAAGTAATGCTTAACTACCATAAAAACTACTTCACCAATGGTGGCAAAGGGCATTGGGAAACCTTATTTTGAATATAACTTTTAGAACAACTAAAGTAAGTAAATAAGTTACTTGCCCAGTGGTTTGGAATGAGTCAACAGTGGTGCTGCAAATCACTTAGCATGGCCATTCTCCTGGGGTTTTAAATCCTAACCAGAGCATAGGGGCTGGGTAATCAGAAAGCAATCCAGCCCATATTATAGGGTTTTATTAGCTTTAGGCAATATCACCCATTCTACCCATGTAAGATTCATGATTCTTTCCTCTGTCCTGGAATATGACCTAGAATGTTCTGGAAAACAGATGGCAAAGCTCAACTAAGCTTATTTTAACTTTCAGAAGATTTTTCTCCAATTTCTTTATAGCTTTTAGGAAAATCTATACAAAGTGTATAAGACACACTACCAGCCTCTCTGAAATTCAGCATACCTGTGATTCAGAAAGCAACTACCACAGCCCTAGGTTAACTTAGGTAGTTTGCCCCTTGTCCCATGGGCTACATGTGCCTATAAATGTGTTCACAGGGGGGAAATAACGTTTTAAATTTGAGGGTGAGGAAGATCTAAAATAAACTTTTACGGCACTATTTTATTTAGCTAGTTTGGCTGACCACAAGGTGATGTCTACAAAGGATCATTTAATGCAATGAGTAGAAATTGTCTTTCCTAAAAGATTGGAATCGAGTTGCTTTACTTTTTTTTTGCTTAGGTGCTCTAACCATAGAGGAAAGAAAATCATTCTTCATATTCACCTGCTCAACCTGTATGGTTGCTGATTTTCTCCATGGATGAAAGAATGTGTTGTGTTCTTACTAGGGTCAGGTTATCACTGTTGAATAGTGTGTGGGAAAGCAAGCAAAAGAACAAATGAAGAACTTGACAGCATAGTGTTCTGGTTGTGCTAAACAGAGACTTTGGCTAAAATGAACAGAAAGTAAAAATCAATTTATCCAAACACTGCTTTACATACAAAAAAGAAAAAAGAAAAAGCAACCTTCAAATTACAACAGGTTCATTTTAAAAGTGGAGTTTGGGTATCTTTGTCCTAAAATATTCCATGTGCCAGGGTAAAAGGCAGAAATAACTGTGTGGATACATTTTGTAACTTTAAAGTCATTCACTCATTCAACCAATACAAATACACCTCAGAGACATAGTGGGTTTGGTTCCAGATCATCACAATAAAGGGAATATCACAATAAAGTGAGTCACAAGGGTTTCCTAGTTTTCCAAGGCACACAAAAAAAATTATATTTGCACTATAATCTACTATGTCATAGCACTATATCTAAAAATGTACATAATTTTAAAACTCTCTATTGATTAAAAACAAACAAACAAACACAGCTGCCCATCACCTCAGCCTTCAGTGGGTCCCAGGAGGAACATCAAAAGTCACTGATCACAGGTCCACAAACACACTGGGCTCTGTCCTCCCTCTCTCTTCTATTAGAATCACTTCCTCTTGGCACTTTACCCCTGACCACCCTAGAGAAGGTAGGGCTAGCCTATCGTTCTCTATTTCAGCACCTTGTCCGTATTGTTTTTTGTTTTTTCCATCACAGCACTTTTCATAATTGGCCGTTTCATAGAATGTGTCTGTTTGCTTGTCTTCTGTCTGTCTCTTTCACTAGATAATCAATCCCCACCATAGCAATTTCACATTTTCTATTGTAACTGTAACATCTAATGCCTGGCACTATGCACGTACTCAATAAAGATTTGTTGATTACATGAATGAAGGAATGAGTAATAGTGAGTGGCCCTTGTTCACACATCAAAACCTGATCACTCCCTACTGTAAACTTCATAAAATCTTTGTAACT